CTCTCTCTTTCTTTCTCTCTCTTTCTTTCTCTCTCTTTCTTTCTCTCTCTTTCTTTCTCTCTCTTTCTTTCTCTCTCTTTCTTTCTCTCTCTTTCTTTCTCTCTCTTTCTTTCTCTCTCTTTCTTTCTCTCTCTTTCTTTCTCTCTCTTTCTTTCTCTCTCTTTCTTTCTCTCTCTTTCTTTCTCTCTCTTTCTTTCTCTCTCTTTCTTTCTCTCTCTTTCTTTCTCTCTCTTTCTTTCTCTCTCTTTCTTTCTCTCTCTTTCTTTCTCTCTCTTTCTTTCTCTTTCTTCCTCTCTTTCTTTCTTTCTTTCTTTCTTTCACCTTAGAAAGGAGGGGAGAGAGAGAAGAATCAATTTGCTGTTCCGCTTCTTACTTATGCTTTCATTGGTTGCTTCTTGTATGTGCCCTGATCCAGGATTGAACCCCAAATCTTGGCATATCAGGATGACTGACGCTTTGACCACCTGAGCTACCTGGCCAGGGCCACACTTTTTCTTTCTTCAATTCTTTACTTTTTTTTGCTTCCCCTTTTTCTTTCAGACTTCTCACTCAATTTTAAGACTATATTTATAAATATGTATATATACTTCTATCTACACACTGATAATTTTACTTGCTCTACAGGAAACTCCCTGATAAAACTAGGATGATCATACACTACAGTTTGCTTTGAGCAATCCTGGTTTTTACCTGTTGTTCCAGTGTGATTATTAACATCTCTCCCCTTTCAAGTGTCCTGGTTTGCATGATAACTTATGTGATCCCCTAGTGATAACCTCTCTAGCAAGAAAAGGCTTGAGTATCATACTTTCATCTTACTAAATGAGAGGATCAGAATTTAAATTATTTTTTTAAAGAGTCTGTAAGGTACAGCCATTAGCCTCAGCTTCAGCTCACCAGGCTGACTGTTGTGATGGCATCATTTGATCTGGAGCAAGCACTGTGTATCTGCTGTATGCTGGTACTGGTGAGAAGTTTGGCACTTCCAGTTGTAATATTCTAGCTGGGCAGTTTGTACAGCTTTACCTTTTTTGCATCTTTTCTTCTAGTATTTCTCCTCCTCTTTGGATTTATCTACATAAACTTGCAATAGAACATCATGCTTTAGTATGTAAATGTCTCACTTATATTTAAGTCTGGCAGCTAATCCCAAATATTGCCAGTTGAATCTGAGTATCTTCTTAGTGAATGCTCTGCTGGGGCCTGGACCAGGAAGCTGAGAATGGAAGCAGCTGGAAAAATTAGGCAGAAAACATGAATCCAGAGGAAGAGTGGTGACCTTATATTACACTAGTGACTAGATAAGGAAAACAGTATGTATGAAGTGAATGGGGTGTGTGTATTTAAATTAGAGCAGAGTTGCTACCTGAAGGAGTTTCAGTTGACTGGTCAACTGAAACTGGTCAAGTTACAACTGGAATTGCACTGCCTTTGTCATGGTTAGTATGTTGTTAAGAGTCACTTGTGAGTGCTTCTTTCCCCCGTGACACTAATTAATGCATTAAGAGCTGTCTGTAAAAAAACTACTTTAGCCCTGGCTAAAGCCCTACTTTTGCTCAATGGTAAGAGTGTTGGCCCATGCACCAAAGGGTCTTGGTTTCAATTCCCAGTCAAGGGCACATACCTGGGTTCACTCCCTATCCCTGGTCGGGGTTCATGAAGTATGCAAAGCCCCTACAGTGACCCATCTTTATTGGCTGAGGATAAGATTCTCTGATCTCTCTCCTCTCTCTCTCTCTCTCTCTCTCTCTCTCTCTCTCTCTCTCTCTCTCTCTCTCCTCTTTCTTCCTCTTCCTCTTCCTCCCACTCTCTTTGAAAAGCAATGGAAAAAAATATCAGGTGAGGATTAACAAAAACAAGCAAAAAAAAACCCTACTTTGCATTGAATGACTGCTGTAGGTATTTTTTTTTTCTAAAATGTCATAGGTAGCCCATGCAGTCAATTGTGAAGTGATGTGTAATACTTCATGAATCACAGTATCTAAGTTGGTGAGACTACCTAGCAATTTATCATCCGTTTAGACCCAAGCAGTGTTCTCAGTAAGGTCCCTGTAGCCATGTAAACTCTACATTGTTTTTGAGAAGGGAGAAGACTGATTTGGGGAAAATGTAGAATGTCGTGTCTTAGGCTCCTGTGGCTCTAATCCATGATATTCCAGCTTGACAGACAGAATGAAATACGTGCATCAGAGCCTTTAGTAGAATTCTGAAAAAAATACTTGAAGAATAAAGCATTCTTTTCAGTGACTCCTTGAAATCACCTGAGTTTATAGGATACCACATTGGCTGCTGTATTGGTTCCGTCTTCAAAAAATAGCAAA